ATAATACATACATGCCACTGATGGTGTGTTCCTGACAGCTAGTGTATAATACATACTTGCCACCGATGGTGTGTCCCTGACAGCACATGTTCTCCAGCAGGATCGTACAGTACTTCGTCTTGCGGTGAGCTAGGTTGACGCTCTCCGCTATTTTCTCGATGCACTCCTCTACCGAAATCAGTCCACAGGTGGAGCCTGCGTCACAATCACCTCGGTTATAAAATGTTGCCAAAGAAGTGTGGTCGAGTAGAAAGGCATGCGCGTTACAAGTTTCCGCGCTCTTCCACATTTCTCCAGACTAAGCCGTAAATTTTAAATGGTTGCTGCCTATGAGACACAGAAAGGCTTTTCGATACAATTGCTGAAAATAGATTTGCAAGGGCGTTGCTCTACCAGTGTGTGGCAACCACGTAGCTTATCATCCCGGTACACGAATTTTCCAGACCGTGACTGGAAGCAAACCCGGGAAATGATTTCTCATGCATGCAATGGAATGCTACCTGGAATGCATGGAGGAAACTTCCGCCCATGATCACCCACGACCGCCCACGGATCAACCACGTCTCTGGCACCCTATATCTGACGCCCGCTAGCCCACGCATGGACCACTGCCCTGCCGGTGGAACGACCCTGTGATGGCGATACTAACCCGGATGAAAATTGTAGAGCTGCAGTCCGAGCCGCTCGCAGCGTTGCACCTCCTCCACCAGGCCAGCTCTGCTCTTTACCAGAATCTCAGGGTTAGGAGCACCGCAGTTCAGCAGGTAGGAAGCTGAAATATGCGGCAAGAAAGCATACGATGAGCATCAGCCTGTGAACGTTAGCGAGGACAATGTTAAGTGCAGAGATAGGGCTGGTATTGAGATTATAATAGCATGCTACATAACGGTTACAAATATTTTATAGATTTTTTTAGTTTTCTCCTACAATAAACTGAAAACTAGTGCAAGAATGCTGGCGACTGTTGGTGGTTAGACATAAACAAGCCAAAACATGCAACCCAGTTATATTCTTCCGTATAGATGCTGCCCTCTAGTGACTAAACATTGAAACACATACCTAAGAACTAGGACCCGCGTGACTTACATATCTAATGAAATAACCACGCGAGAGTCGGATTCCTACATGATCCATCTATATCATATTATCAGCTCTACAATACCGTATGTGACATATCGAACATGAACAACTGAACATAAACATCGAATACAACAGAAGTAAGAGAACAGTGCGGCTGTCACGAACCATGAGGCACAATCAGATGAGGTTCGAAGCTGTGATCTTTACAGGCCTCCCTGAACTTTTCAATGACGTCGTCAGTCAGGGGTTTGCTCTCCCACTGACGCTGTGATCGTAGGAATATCGCAAAGCTTCTGGCCCCCAGAGCACTTGCATTAGCAAATGCATGCCATATACCACCTACAAGTATCACACATTACACATGCATCATACATGCACATCACACATACATGAAAAATCAACAATGCAGGTACATACATGTACACGTGCTTGCAATTTTGTGTGTTGTTGTTGTTATTACTGATCATGGAAAGAATACTTATCAATGCCAGATTAATTCTTCCAGTTTGAAATTCCAGTCATTTGATAAAAAAGACCCCCGGGTACTATATAATGTGCTATGGTGAACACCTATCTTACCTGCGATAGACACATGCATTCCAACATACTTGTTCGCTCTGCTTGAGTATGAATCAGAGCTTGACATAGTAGTAGACACTTCCTTGAGAGTTTCAGGGGTAACTTTGGCAAGCTTATTCTCAGTGGTAATGACTTCAATGCGTGAAAACTTCTTCAGTGGTTCATCAACTTCTTCCTCATCCTTATTTGCAGACGGTTTAGTCATAACATGCCGTTTCTTTGCAGTGATGCTTCTAGTACGCTCCTCAGGCAGCTTGCTTTCAGAGTGTTCTTCTCCCTCTGCTAGTTGATCAATTTTCTCCTTAACAAATAATTTATTCGTTGCCGCTTGTTTTTGTTCTGTAATTTCAACTTCCTTTTCCTTTACTGTTTTATTCTTAGCCTGTCGTTTCTTTGTTCCAAGTTCCTTGTTCCCATATAGCAGCTTGGCTTCAACTTGTTCTTTCTCTGCTAGTCCATCTACGTTGACCTTAATGAGTAGTTTACCTTTTGTCTGTCGTTTCATTGCTTTAACTTTAGTTAGTTCCTCCTTATCAGACAGCTTATTCTTAGCTGTTTCTTCATCTGCCATGACTTCATCTTCATCTTCATGAAGTTGTTTTTGTTTATTCCTACCCTGGCGTTTCTTTGCTGGAACTTTGACTAGTTCCTCTTTCTCAGACAGCTTACTCTCAGTGTTTTCTTCATCTGTAATAATTTCATCTTCATCTTTACGAAGTTGTTTTTGTTTATTCCTAACCTGGCGTTTCTTTGCTGGAACTTTGACTAATTCCTCTTTCTCAGACAGCTTACTCTCAGTGTTGTCTTCATCTGTAATGATTTCATCTTCATCTTTACGAAGTTGTTTTTGTTTATTTCTAACCTGGTATTTCTTTGCTGGAACTTTGACTAATTCCTCTTTCTCAGACAGCTTACTCTCAGTGTTTTCTTCATCTGCAATGATTTCATCTTCATCTTTACGAAGTTGTTCTCGTTTATTCCTAACCTGGCGTTTCTTTGCTGGAACTTTGGCTAATTCCTCTTTCTCAGATAGCTTACTCTCAGTGTTTTTTTCATCTGCAATGATTTCATCTTCATCGTCATGAAGTTGCTTTTGTTTATTCCTAACCTGGCGTTTCTTTGCTGGAACTTTGACTAGTTCTTCATTCTTGGTCAGTTTGTTTGCAGCATTATCTTCCTGTGCTAGTTCCTTATCCTCAGCCTTATCATTTTCCTTACTCTTAGCCTGTCTTTTCTTTGCAGTAAGTCGAGGTATCTGTGTGTCAGGTAGCCAGCTCTCACTTTGTTCTTTCTCTTCTAGTACACTGTCTTCATCTCTATGAAGTTGTTGTTGTTCCTTCCTAATCTGCCGTTTCCTAGTTGGAACTTGGTTGGGTGGAGCATTATTTGGATCTTCATTTTCAGGTCGCTTGTCATCATCTAGTTTTTCCTTCATTAGTATATTGTCTTCAGCCCTACAAAGTTGTTTAGTCTTCAACTGTCGTTTCTTTCCTGTAAGTACAATCAGTTCCTTCTCCTCAGGAAGTTTGCTCTCAGCTTGATCTGTCTTTGCTATTATTTCATCTTCAACCTTAAGAAGTTGTTTGTTTCTATTCTGTCGTTTCCTTGCCGGAACATTAAGCTCCTTTCTATCATGGAGCTTGTTATCAGCTTGCTTTTCTTTAGCTGTTATTTTACCTTCAATCTTAAGAAGTTGTCTATTTCTAATTTGGCGTTTCTTTGCTGGAACTTTTTCCTGCTTAGGAAGCTTATTTTCACTTTGATCTGTCACTGCTATTATTTTATCTTCATCCTTTAGAATTTGTTTATTTCTAATCAGTCGTTTCTTTGCTGGAACTGTAGGCTCATTGTCCTCAGACAGATTGCTCCTACTTTGATCCTCCGCTGCTATTATTTCATCTTCCACCTCAACAGGTAATTTATTACGAGTACGCTGTCTTGATTTTGCTGGCATATTACTTTTCTCTACGTAAACTTTATGACCTAATAAAAGGAAACACAACAAATAGGTTAATTTACACTTTAAAAAAAACAGACCATTACATACATTCCTACCAGAAAACTTGGTAATTCTAAAAAAGCTAATACTAATAGAATTATGTTACAGCAGTGCTGTCAGCACGTGTGACACTGACAAGACAATCCTTATGAATTTCTAAAAATCTCCCATCATATTTGTGCAATGTGGTGTATTGTCGTACATATAACGTCGTATATATTGTCGTATATATAACGTCAGATTATATTACTGTAAGTCTACAGGTAATTTATTACGAGTACGCTGTCTTGATTTTGCTGGCATATACACCCATTGACAGTTCTGCGTCTATGTTCCGCGCCATTAGTTACGCATCTCCGCGAGAGCCCGGTTGTGCGAGTAAACTCCGCAATATTGTTTATCTCGATGCGTTATCTGCCTTGCATACGCAGGTCGCTCACATTTTTCTCGGCCGTCTCTACCCAATCGGTACTAACTGGATCGGGTAAAATCTAATATGCCGGACCGTAGCCTCGCCTACTCCACTAACGAGTCTAGGGAGTTGCCTACTTCCTCACGCTAACCGCTAACTTCTTAACCCTAACCTAAACTCTAACTTCTACACCTAAAGCGCTATATAACCCTAACTCAAAACCCTACTCATCCATGCAGTTCGATAGTTACGCAGGGTAACGTTCCGGTATACGGACCTGTACCCAGCTAGGGTAACGTTTCCGGCAGGTACCCTCGGGGACATAGACCGCCTTATTGAGCGCAATGTATACCCTCTTTGTATCGTTAGCCTACCTAGCCAGTGTTTCCTCATTGTAATTGGTTTTTTGGTTAACAACGGTGTAGTCTTGTGGCTAGATTACTGGGAGGGACTCAGACAGAATGCTGGAGAGGGCCAATATCAGGGCTCGAATTAAGCGGAGACGAGGAAGCAGGCAAGGCAATTTTTTTAGGCGGCATCGTGAGAAATCGCCGTCGATTTTCTCTAAAATAGAAAGGGCACCAAGGCAACTCTGCAAAAAATTTGAGAGGTGCACACCAAGGCACTTTTGAAAATAAAGGAAAACTCATAACCATTAGTACATCAACACGTCGTCTTGCTTTTAATGTACAAAACGAAAATCATTGGCCCCCAGTGTTAAGCTTACCCGTAACACGTGACACCTGTACGCCACCTTCGTGCTCAATGGACAGTACAGTAACAGACCAGTTTTACATGCTCCGTATCAGGAGCAGAAAATAATTATCCCGATGCTGTTATTATTCGCTCCTGCGGACCTATCGTTTTGTAGCTCATGCATTGGCAACTACAGCACCACGATGCGCACCGTGTTTATGTTTGATTCGACTGAAAAACGAACCTAGGCGGCAGTAGATTAAAGGGCATCCCTGACGGCAATATACCACAAAGGGGCTAAGGCCAGAGTGACTGCCGTCGGCTCGGGTTTGGATTTTCAGGGGCAGTACGGCGATTGATAGGGGCAGGGCACCGACGGGAATTGCCGTCGGTGCCGTCGGTTAATTCGACGTTTCCCGTCGCCAGAAAAGCGCGAGTAAAATGCGGCGAACAATGGCGTTAACGTGTAGTGTGAAGGGCTGCTCAAACGGATCGTATTGGGCGTTAAGAAAGACAGAGCATCGCATCGAGCCATAATTTAAATGTACTCAAGATGTCGATGTCCTCAGGTCCATCCATGTATCGGGTCTCTATTCCCTGCTAACCGTGCACCTGTTTCTTCGACTACAAAGGTGANACACCATTTCTCAGCTTTGTGCAATATGGACTCAATGAACAGAAGGCTATAATGAAATGTTACATATATACCACTCACAGTAACGTTATGATGCTGCTCATGCATTGTGCAGATAGGCTAGTTCCCATTTCAGTTTCTCTTTCCAGTTGGCTTTCTAGACTGGTACCCGTTCGCCACCTTCACTCCGGCAAGTATCCTTCGCTACACTGAAGTTAGTTAGTGTAGCGTGTGGAACTGTCGACCGGGTACCAGTCTAGGTTAAAGCCGGCTGAGCCGTCCGCACGAAAAGTGCTAGCGAAATTCTATGCATATAGCCTCGTTGTGCCATCTATCGCGCGCCATATGTACTACAGTACTACACTGATGTGGGGGCCTCAACTAGTCGCTCCCACAAAAAAGTTCAACTCCGTTTTTTACAGCAAACCAAGCGCGCCGAGTAGCGAACCAAGAATTACGACCATTTCTAGGAAATCTCTAGCTACGTGGGTAGTCAAACCCGTCGTGCAATCGCCAGAACTGCTCAATTCAGCGAACTTGCTGCTTACTTGCTATATGTAAACCCGTTGAAATTGCTATTCAATGAGTGCAGCGTTGTTGTGTTAGTCTGCCGCTACGCTGCGTTTTTCGCGCTTCGCTCGTGATCCGGCTGCCGATTGTCTAGCTGTACCGTTGTAACTGCTTCACTCCCGCTACCTGTAGTCCGTAGTGGGAGCGAAGGGGCAACATAGGTAGAGCTAGGGCTGAAGGCTGAAATGGACTATGATTTATGCATCTGCTGCTGCATACACACACATATTCAAATAATCGGGGGTTTTCTAGTGTGAGAAATGTGTTGATTAATCAAATCTTACCATTTTTGCCCAAATTTAGTATTTAACTACAGAATCGCACGTAATGAACAATCTAAAAACTGTTAAGCTCGCTAACTTTTGAACTAGTTTGATCTAATTTCCATCAATCAGTGCATGCCACCGTGTGCTGAAAAATCATTTGCTTACATTGCTATATATATAGCAGCTATTGTAATATTTCACTTCCTGATGAAAACTTTATCTCAATCTGGTACACCACAACTTACCTGAAATGCACTGCATATGCATTCAATAGTAATAATGAGAGTGATTGGGTAAAGCAGTGATCATACTCACTTGTGCATTGCAGGAAAGTGCTGAAGGAGATCGTGGTCAGTTCTCTGAAGGCAGACGACACGAAGGACGTTGTGCAGGAAGCGAAGCTGCTCTCTAAGCTCAACCACCCTGGCATCGTGCGCTTCAAGGACAGCTTCCTTGCCGGAGAGTTCTTCTGCATCGTCACGGAGTATTGTGAGGTGACACACACACACACATACTTTTTGTCATAGTTTGTCATAGTTATGTTATATGTCACGATAGATGACAGCACTTGTCCGCCAGTCATGCACGTGTGGTTCTGCTGAGTAAACTTACTTGTCACATACTCTACGAGTTCTTTATCTAATTGCATATCCGTAGTACAAAACTACAACATGGTGTCAGAAGTGGGATCAGGAACAACTCGTCAGTAGTATGTACCTGTGATCGAATTTTTGCACTTATCAGCATTAAAGCACAGACTGCTGTTCAGCCTGCCGGCGCTTCATGACCGCGTACGTAGCTTGCTGTCATGCTGTCACGTATACTGCTAGCCATACAGATCGATATCGTCGGCATCCCAGTAACACCTGGCGTAAATCTCCGAACGTTTCGCTCTTACCTTCTTCTGGAAGATATCTTGCGCACAGATCAATCCGAAAGGTACCTGCAAAAAAACGGAATCTCCATGTCGCTGATATTGAGACTTGTTCTGTACAGCCGCAGCTCTCATGGTTCTAACTTAATTATCCATTACCCACTGCGATGCTCCACTATAGCAGAAGTACTTTGCTCCTCGCTGAGCTTGGGAAGAACTGCATCTATCGTTGGTGACAGTGGTGAGGCCCGCCTTGATGGCATAGTTCAGATTCCTTTGGTCTAAAACACAGTCGAAGCGCACCGTTACTCTTGTAGTGACGACATACTAGGCGCAGTTGACCCAGTCTGATGGCGCCCTCATCCACTTTGCTATGATTCCCTGAGCTGTGAGGGAGTTCAGTCTCTCTTCAGCGGCCCTCACGTAATGCCTCTGGAACTCGGCGTGGTGGATGTATCACTGGTGGCACATGTTGGGGGCTGCAGGGCGACGTGAAATTCGCTTTGAAACACCGATGCCTTACGAAACAATCCTTGTGTTGATGCCAGTAGTTCAGCTTTAGCCAGCAGGATCACCTGTAAGTACCTGTGTAGGCTGTTCGTGTCTTGTTGCGTTAGTTAAATGCGGTAGTTCAGCCGTTAACTAGGCTTCATATTCCCGCATGTAGGCGAGACCCAAGATAGTTGCCGTCCATCAGCATGGGACTACAGGGAATGGGGTATGCCCATTAGAGCATCCATTGCGAGTGAGGGTGAAGCATACATGTACCGTATGTGCTGTAGTGGATTGACCTCCAAATGCAGTAATCTTAGTGTCATGATGGCGTTACATCCGTATGAGTGCCTACCATTAGTGTCGCCCAGTGCTTGTCTGGGGACACAGCTGTTTGCTACGTGCCTAATCGGAATGATGCTTTCCTTGCTGCCTCCCGTGTCAATTTTGCATATCAGCCGGCATGTGCATCCTCCACGGTCCCACATGCTACCTTTGAGTACTGCCGTGTATCGTAGACAGATCTTTACACTGTCAATCTGCAAGGAAGTGGAAGTACAGTTGAGGGGCTAACTGGCCGCGTCAATCACTGTGCTCGCTGCTAGTAGTAGCTAGCTTTGTATACCCTGTTTGTACTTCAGCCATTGAGTCTTTGCGTTGGTAGGTAACAGTTTTCGCGCTTCGAATCCTTGGCCCTCCGTTCGCGGTCTTCAACGCACGGCATACAGATCGCCCAGTGCTCGTTACTTTGCCACGATGCTTTGCATTGAGTTTCCGAAAGCACGGGCCACATCAGTCTCTGAGCATCGGTCGTTGGAAGCGTGCCGCAGCCTTCCACAAACACTCTTCTGCGGTGCTCTTATACTTGTGCGGATGGTGGCTTGACGCGGACAGGTTCCATGGTGCTTCATTGCATCTACTCTAGTCTCTGTGCCCTCTAATGTCGTGCAAATCTGCGTTTGCTCGCGTTGCCTCCAGCCGTTCTGGCCAATAATCGATGCTCTATCCAGAGCGTTAGTGTCTCGTCGTATTCCAGCAACTTTGCCTAAAACGTG